ATACAACAGTCTTGACTTTGTCAAATTCCAACCTGGATCTTCGACGTCCATTTCCGCTGTGGACATCATGGCTGCAAAGGCGTTTGTGCAAGGCTGAGTAGGTTTCAAAGTCTGCAAGCAACTACCTCTTTCAATTGCCAGCCGATGTCCTTACAACAAATTAGCAGAAGTCCTTCAAGGTTAGGCTTAGGGCACATATGTCAGTCCCTTTGAGCCAATCTCGGATGCTTTGCCGTATGCAGAACACAGTTCTAGTGAACATATGATCACACGAACACGTCGTATGCAACAACATGCGAATATCTCAAAGTCTTGACACGACGTGTGTTCATGTGATTTTGTTTATACAGTAAGTGTATGTATCTCGAATTCACCTCATTCAACATGAAAAAGGCAAGCTTCCACAATTCCACAAAACATGCATGCATCTGGCGTACTTTTTCGGGGAGGCTTCGTCAACAACTGGAACTTCTTGATATGTATTATGCATACTCAATCTCGGCCCCATGCCCTGGACTTTTCCTCGGTTCAGCTAGTCAAAAAAGTCCACATGTGATATCTCACTGGATCGATCACATATATATATATGTATATCTGCCTCTCGGAACTTGCGCTAATTGCAACCTGCGTGTTTGTGTACTTCAGTGAAGGCGTCTCTTTTGTAAAGGGCATGTCTGCGTGACGATGGTCTGGGCTTTTATTGTGTCACCATTGCCACTACATACGACATCACTGATGGATCTGCAAACGCCAGCCAAGGTGCTTGGTGATTCTCTGAGCTTCTTCTCCCTGATCACTGCGCCAGTGTCTGGGCTGAAGGTCCTTGGCAATGGACCACGCTTTCTTGGAACTCTCAAAAAGACTCAAAGCATCTCAAAGCCCTTGAAATTTTTGGGACCTCATTGGGGCCTGGTGAGCCTGGGCCACCCTACACGCTGCTGCGGCCTCCAGATTCGAAATCAACTACAGCCAAGCTCAAATTATCCTCAGTGTTTCTGAGAACTGCAATGCATGTTGCCACTTGGGAGCCGAGAATTGGCACAGCAACCAACAAGAAGGACACACAAGACCAACAAACCAGCTTTTCACACGTCTTCATGCAACATGAGCATGTTGTGCGGCAGCAGTGACATACAAAGGCTGGCAAGGAGCTGGATTTGACACAACTTCGACTTCCAAATAGACCTGGGATGTCAAATCTTTTGACAAGTGATCTGAACAGGTTGTGACGCATCTTGCTTGTGACAGCTTCCGCCTGAACCTGGACCTCTCAGCTATGTAATCGGTTGATGCCCACTCATGCGGTACGTACTTCCTGCAGTTGAAGAAGCTCCACGTTGGCTGTCGGCACAAAGAAGATCAGATCGCAAGCGGCACTTGCCTACCAAATCTTTTGTTTGGTCAAACTGTCTCTCTCTGTGTTGCAACATGCACCTGTATCGCGCTTCGCAGCTTACAAACAGCGACCTAAATGACTCAGCTGTATTGGCAAGCTACAGTATGCCACATCATCCGGAGTCCGGATGGATTTTATCCTTGGCGGCCAAGCTTGAAAACAATTCAACAAGCCAAAAGCCTTCGATTTTGCCACTGAGAAGTGGTGAGGTGAACTAAAACAGCATTCATAATTCATAGTCATAGTGACTATAGTGATATTACACATTATATACATCTTGACATATCTTAACTGTGGCCCCTGGCAATTCTTGTCGTCTGTGAAGCAAGCAAACCAATTAGGAAAATGGTGGCACCATAGCCAGTCACCAGCAAGGGTGTCTAGTGCCTGTAAGATGCCATCAGAGTGCATGATAATCGTTCCCATCGATGTCTGCCGGCATCCAACCACTGTGCAACTGCTTACCTTGAAACCTCTAAGGCTCTACAAAACCTTCCTGATGAACTCAAATGGTCACCCTCGAAAGATTTCTGCACCCATGAATCTGATGATTTTGTAATGCAAAATCCTGACTAGTAAAGGGTGACGGGACAATAACACGTTTTCGCAACATTATTCTCACACCCTGAATAATGGTAATAATAATAGGTCAGTATGTGTATGTGTTTTTCCGCCCAGGTCATTCTTTAAAGATCTGCTTTGTTTATTGATGTCCATTAAGATCCTTGCTTAACTTCGTCTGAGGTTTGCTTGATTCACGGAACTCTGACCTGAAAACCATTTTCAATCATCCCTATTAAAACTCATCAAAATCATTGCTCCAAACAATTTTTCTTTCAAGGGGGTAATAGTACAGAAGCCCAGGGTAAGTGAATAACATAATTACGGTTTAAGAAATGTCTATATAGCGGGTTGGGTTAATCCGCCAACTTGGAACCCTGGGAAAAATATCATGCTCTATTGCTCTGCTATTGCTGCTGCTGCCACTGCTACGACGACGATGACGACGACTACTACTGCTGCTACAACATGCTACAACTACTCCTGCTGCTCCTGCTCCTGCTGCTGCTGCTGCTCCTGCTACTGCTGCTGCTGCTACTACTACTCCTCCTCCTCCTACTACGGCTACGACTACGACTACATGCTACTACTGCTGCTACTGCTACTGCTCCTGCTGCTGCTGCTGCTGCTGCTGCTTATTCTACGGTACTACCACCACCACCACCACTACTAACAACTCCCAAATAGTCTTGGCGGGGTTGACTCTATTCATTCTCCCTCGGTTGTTTGCTGGAGGGAGGCGGTGCAGGTTTAAGATCGGACATTAAGGCATTCACTCAGTATGTATATATTCACGAAGTATTTGATTTTGGAAAATCTGAGTGAAAATAAGCCAGCTAGGCGCTTGTGGAAGGCAAATGGTTCCAACCAGTGGCTATCAAGCTACCCACTGTCTGCTAAATATGCCGGGCAAGCAACTGTCCACCACGGAAAGGGTCACGAAATGTAGGCACCTGGTTTTTGGTTCGATTTTTGTGCTTTGCGTAGTTGCCACGCAAAGGTTGATACAAATTACAAATGCATACAAATGTACAATTTGTGATGTCGTCGTTTGCCTAGTTGGATTGCATTTTCCTGCCTCGTTCTTGAACTTCATGTACCTGCCTTTCCAATCCACCCGGGCTTGCTTTCGGCCACTTCCAGCTGGAGTCGCCATCTGCAGGGGGTTCAGGCTTGCACATCGAAGGGCGCTGGGTTCTACTTTATCCGGCAACATGCGGCTCCTGATGCTGTCACCAAAGTACGCCAACATGTTTGAAGTCCGATTGACCCGCTGTTTGCTTATGTTATATGATTGTTCCATTTTTGACTTCCCGCCTCCAGTTCCAAGTGGAGTGCCTCCTCAGAGGATTCGAAGATGCCTTCGTGCTCCAGCTCCATGCCATGAAACATGCGACCTCCAAGCGCGCGCCAAGGCCCAGCATTGGCCCCATTCAATTGGCACAGCAGCCGGCAGGTGGCGTCTGATCGGCACCTAACAGGACAAACTCGACTCAGCGGCAAAGCTTAGCAAATCTTAGCAAGAAAAAATACACAAAGCAAGAAAAACATCCCATCAACATCAACAAACAAGTGGCAGAGTGTTTGCATCCAGCATCATCCTGAGAACACAAGTGGCTTCTCTGATGAGGTGACAAGGTGTCTGCAAGTTTCTCGCAAATTAGGACAGTTTCTCTGTGCCTTCCAAGCGTCGCTATGATAAAGTACGGCCCTTCAGCTAGCTCAGGCAACGACAGCCGGCTAGGCTGCACATCAGCAAGGAGCTCGCCGCCTGTGATGCTCACAAAAATCCCAAAGGCTCATAATTCACAATCACACGCCATTCTTTTGGAACTTGTTTGCTTTGTGATTTCCCAAGCAATCCAACATACTTTTTGTTGCAATTGGAATGGCTGTTGGAAGAGTCAGTGACCCAGTAATCAATCAGAAAAAACATAAAACAAATGAACAAATTCGTCAGTTGATGACATCAAAAGCAAAAAAGACAAAAACATAAAACATCAACCACATTTTCAAAGGACTTCAAGAGGGAAATGCAGTTGATTAAACATAAGTGATTCAGAGTGACCTCACTGATCCCCATTGCCTGAGCCACGGCGGGGCACCAACGGCCGTGCTGCCCTGAAGGCGAGGCCAAAGAACCGCTTCTGGCTGAGGGCCTTCATGGCCTTAAATGGCGTCGTGGAATCCAAAGGCAACCCTTACACCAAAGCTGGAGCCGACAAACGCATTACTAAGTACTATACCTCGAGTGACCCCCACCGTGGCATGATACCCTCCTGATAACCGACTGCTATATTGCTACAACATCGCCAAGAAAGCTGGCATAAATCAGGCATTCTATCTGGAAAACATTTTGGCAGTTTATGTGGAATACTGTACTCTGGCATTCGTCTGGCGTAAAGTCGGGCATGTATTCTGGCATTCTATCCCGCATATTTTCTAGCTTCTATTTAGCACACATTCTGGCACATGTGCTGGCATTCTATTTGTCGAATTCTGGCGTTCTATGTGGCATATTTACTGACACTCTTTCTGAAATGTTTTCTGACATTCTTTCTGGCAGTAAATCTGGCATATACTCGGGCATAATTGCTGATGTGTTTTTAGTATTCTTTCTTCTGGTTCAGGCCAGTGCCCACTGTATAGCGGCTAGCGCTCGCGGTGAGGTCTGGCGGTGCCCTCTGCGATCTGGTAATTACTTGCGGAGGAGGAGGAGGAGGAAAAGGAGGAGGAGGAGGCGAGGACAGCTCTGACAAAATCTAACAACCCTCACCTGGCAGTTGGGGGAGAAACATGTAGACTCACTGTGCTTTTTGGTCAATACGCGCAGCGCACCTCTCCGTCTGATCTGCGCAACCGCTCCACTAGCGGCTGGCGCTTGAGCCCAAGCTTGACAGGCACTGGTCCACATTCACAACCGTTCAAAACAAGCAACCAAGAAACCCCCAACTATATAATTACAGTGATCTGCCTAGCCATTTGTGATTGTGACTCCTTTGCTGTTGCAACGCCACTGCCTTCGCTCCAGAGGACAGGTTGCCAGGCAAAAACGATGTACATACTTCCAAAAAAGGACCTGAGCATCACGCCTGACTAATCACCTGTAAAGCACGACCCTAATTATACAGCAGTTCCTGAGCCTGTGTACTGTGTACCTTCATGCTTGATCTTGCTCGATATCTGAGACTATGCCCTTTCAGTTTTTCAGTAGAACTTCAGGCAGCCGGCCAACACTGGGAAGTGCGACAGCTTCATAGGAGGCGTCGCTAACCTAAAACAATTCGGTCTGTTGCCAAAACAGAACAAAAGATCACACAACGCGAGGTTATGAAGCAATGGCATTGCGGCATATGTGATGACTATATTGAATATACACAGATGCAATTTGACTTGAAGGCTGGAGAAACAATGACAGATTGAATCTTGCCATCATGTCCTCACTCTACGGCGGCTGCCTCTGCCACAGCTGACCACTGATTAAGGCCACTAAGGGACATAGCTTCCACAGCACCAGCAATTGCCAAGCCGTTATGGAGGAGCTGTCAGGGATGGCAGGCAGAAGTGATCTGCGAATCTTGGCACCCGAGCCTGAACCTAAATCCATCATAATCATCACCCTTACTCTTCGTGAAACTCAACCTGCTGCAGCATATACCAACAAATGATAACAAATGCAACCAAGCCTGTGGCTTCAGCCGCAGCATTCGCTTCAGCTTCTGCCAGTCACCTGGCCACACTACTTGTGACCCGTGCCGCTCATCTTATGCATCGTTCAGCACATTCGTGTGCCTGTACACCCCTACATGGCCCCACAGCGATTTGTGTTGTGGCAGTTTTGCATTTGAGGTTCACGCGCATCTTCTTGATTTGTGGAATCAAGACAAAGCTCACAACAATGTTCCTTGGAGACTCAGATTCAGTAGGCAGTGCATTTACATTATTTATATATATATATATAAATTGAAACAGTTCAGTGATGTTGAGCCGAGAGTCACAAAAAAGGCCAAGGGGAAGGTCAGCTCCCAAAAAACTTGATTCACCTTGGAACACAAAGAAGGTTCACTCTCGGGCCAGATTTTCTAGATCCGTCAAGCTTGACTTGTGCGTGCTTGAGTCTGACTTTGCAACATGATACAGTAGACATCTTGACCACAAAGACATAGCACAAACTCTTTCAGCACAGGGCACCATACACAAAGCCTTTGGCGGCTCGGGCCCACAGAATCCCAATATGGCAGCAGAGCAAAGAAACATGGTGCAACTTAAATTGCTCCAGGAAGTGAAGGTGGACCATCGCCTGAGAGATTTCGTAGTTCACAACCAAATGAGGCAACCATGCGCATCATGTCCAGCAAAGCTATTTTTGTTCATTGCGCCTCTTGCATCATTTCACATTCTTTGTCGCAATGTGCCATACTTGCAAGCGAGGCACTGTACACCCAGAAACTCTCGGTGCAACACAGGGAATTCAGGGCGACCCAAGACGGTGTAACGCACTTTCAAGGCATCTGGATCCAGGTAATGCCATATCATCAGGCTGGACGCCCTTGCGGTCGAGATCATCGAGTCGAGTGAAGGCTGTTGTCCTACATTGGCGATATGGACCCATATCTCACATCCATTTATCACATATCCACTCTGTTCGTTTACCACAAAGGCAGCTTCTGACACTGCCATAGTCTCCTACATGCCGTATATCGCTCTCACCCTCAACTTCAGCGAAGCATCCCCACAGCCATGGTAAGATTGTAGAATCTTACTGGAGCATCAGACCTCAGCCAAAGCAGCACTTACCGTGGGCCAAGGTGATGACCACATGAACATAACTTAACCATGAGGGTTGACTATAGAATGACCATGAATGACCTAAGCCTATGGCAACCAAGTCCACATGCTAGCAACTGAAGCTCATAGTTGGCCACTGGACACCCGTTAAAACATGGGAATTTTGGTGAGGCATTCTGAGTCCCCAATCAAACGCCAGCAACGGTGGAGCATTTTTGGCTGTGCCTGATGTGGCGGCGACAGAGTCCAACACGCAGTGCCCGCGTTCTGCAGGGAAGGCACATGCCGATGGGGCAGCTGTAGCTGTCTTCAGGCAAAAATGCAAGCCACCAGCAACATCCTGTAATGACCAGCATCAGCAAAATCGCTGTGAGCACGATGTTGAGGGTCTAAGCAAGTTGTGAAAATATGTGAAAAAATGCTTGCGACAAAAGAATCTAGTACCTTGTCACCTAATTACTACTGTAGCAATCTGTGCGTGGAAACCTTTTCAAGCACACACACACACCATCAGACTTGCAAGTTGCCCTTTCAGCTACAATGTTATATATTTATCTACTATTTATATATATATATATCTATTTACGACACTCTATCCAAAGACCATCCCTCAGACCAGGACCTCCGGACACTTCCATCTTCTTATACAACGCCTTCAGGCTTGTATTCTGATTAAACATTGGAACGACATAGAGCCAAGTTCTGGACGAATTGACAGATTAATGTCCTGAGTCCTGAGTGAGCACGTTCATTTTGAGATATCCAAGTGGCAAGGGGGTTTGGATCTTGCACGGGGGTCCCTTTTTCCGGTAGGGATCTGTAGGGTGTATAAACAGTTTGGTGGCGTGAGTTTGTGTTTAGGACCGCCCTCGCATTCGCGCCACCTATGCATGGTCCTGCAATGTTATTATATAATATATATATATATGTATGATTATGTATGTATATTTAAAGGAAACATATATTATATAACAATATGATACAATATGTGTAGATATACACTTTCATTGCGGGCATGGTCAGAGTGATTCTACTCCGTGCAGCTTGAGCGATACTGACTACCAAGCTTGCCGAACAAATGCGAACAAGTTGGTCTGCGGATGCATCTCCCGTGTTTAATCGCGTTTGCTGAGGAAAGTCAACAAGGGTGTCACCGGAATATTTCACTTAAGGAGTGGTTCACAGGGACTTCAGCATACCTCAAGTCAAGTGCCGAGCATGTTGTGCAGCACAACCAACATATTTGCACAAATGCATGCCAAAGTATATGGGCCGCCACCTTGTGATTAGGCCCTGAGGCCCTTGAAGCCCTCTTGAAGAACCATGCAAATGTGATCCATACACCACACAGTCTCCCCAACTTTCCGTGGCAGGCACATCTTGTGGAACCCCTTTGGGCGCATCGTTTGCATCCTTCTGCAATGATGGGGTTGGTGCAGCAGACATGGCGCTGCGCGTGGAGGGAAGAGTTTTGATGTTGTTTTCAATGTTCACGCACGGACAATCTAATATCGAATCAAACGTGAACAAACAGGGATGTTTGACTGCGAATGCTTGGGCTAAATCTTGTTTTTCTCTCTGTTTGTGCCAGAATGTCTGCCGGACCTCATGCAAGCACAACAAATCAAGTGGTCCTGAGTTCGTCTGTTGCCGCAAGCAGGGACCATTGCATCCTGCAGGAATTGCGGGCACCGAGCGCAGAGAGAAGGATCGGAAATGGAAACCCAGCCTTCAGGGAATCAACTCGGTCGTCAAGCAACAAAGCATGTATGTACCAAACACATCCAAACACATTCTAATTGCAAATAAACAATCAAACCGCATCTCGAAATGCATTTCCTGTGCCATAAACGATAACGGTTTTACTATGCCTTTAAAAGTGCACGCCAAGGCAGTACAACTGACCAAAACGACCGTCTTCTCGCTTCTTACCTCTTTGATGAGCTTCTGGTTTGCTATAATCACCTCACTGGTGGGGAACACTTTCAACAGGTCAGCATTCACAATGCCCAACTGTGCTGTTCTGCCCCGGGCAAACTTGGATCACTTTTGGGTTGTCAAGCAGCCCATGACGAGGAGGCCATGTAAACCTTGCAGCCCAGAAGAGTTCATTTTAACCAGTTGACTTCCATGTTCCAGGCCATTTATTGTCCACGAATGTCTGCTAGCTGCTGGCCAAGCTGCCAAGCAAGAGGTTGGCACCAACAACGTTTGAGTGATTCGGCTTGAAACCTAAGAGCAAACTTCAGCCCCAAAAACAACCATGCGGTTCTGTGCTACGTGTTTTTTTGCCTGGCTTGGCGGCCAGGCCCCATTTCCCGAATGCATAGCGAAGAGTTCTCGTTCACCTTTGTGAGTCGGACGGTAGAGCGATGTTCTTTCATGTCCCAACTGTCCGGAACCGTCCACAGCGGTTCACGCGTGTTTGAATGTGATCGATAAGGCCGTGACAGTGGGGGAAGCTTTAGGAGGGGTTTTGGTTGGAAGGCCGAAGTGGCAGCTTTGTGAAATTGCATGGACATGTAACATGTTGACGTATGGAGGTTGATTTCGCTGCGCAAATGCAGCCTTTTGAAAGATCCTCAGTTTCCTTCGCTGTGACCGTGGGATTTGCGGTTTAGGAGGCTGTTGCCTCGAAACCCAGGTCTCAGATAAAATTTTGATTTTGGTGGATGTGAGTGTGCTCAGAAAGTGTCGAAATCGCTCTATATAAAAGTGTGGTGTGGTGCAAATTTTGCTGAAGACATGAAGATGTCATGAAGGCTAAATGGAGGGTGTGTGGAGAAAGGGGGTCAGCAAAAATCGCTTGTACGAAGTTGGTGCATCAAAAATACCTTCCACGAAGCTCTGCGAAGGTTTCTGGGATTTCGTTGCAGTCAGTTCTGCTACTGGCCCACCATTCCACGAACTGTCCACGAATAGCCTTGGGTTCTACGAATGTCCCGCGCCTTCCACGATGTTAGTAGAATAGGTTTTTGCAAAACCCTTTCTGTGCACTACCCTTCCGTTTGCCTCTGATGTCATGCCTTCACTTTTCGTGGCGGGCGCAGGAATCGTGAGGTTGCGACGTGTTGAGGTGAATGTCGCTGCGCCACTGGGAAGGGTGTGTCAGCTGCGGGATTTGTGAAACTGCTTGGCAGGGCTGCTTGATGTGTTCGCTCTGATGAGATTTCCCATGATTTGCCACCACATTTGAAGGACGTCTCGTACGAAACGCTCGTTTTGGAGACTCTGCCGTGTGACTTTTGGAGTCTTCCAGGCTCGACGTTTGACTTTTGGAGAACCTCACAAGAGTGTCCCGCTAAAGCCGTTAGTGTCCCACAAGACTGAGAGTGTCTCCTACAAGAGTGTCGTGCAGTGTCCTACAAGAGTGTCTCCTAGAAGAGTGTCCAAAGAGTGCCCCGCAAAATTGTCCTACAAGAGGGCCCCGCACGAGTTTCCCATGAGAGTGAGTCCACATGAGTCCACCACAAAAATAGCGCGCGAGAGTGAGTCTACCCCTCGAGAGTGTTCTACAAGAGCGACCCCCACACAACTAAATATTCCGCAAGAGAGAGTGTCCAACAAGAGTTTGGCACGGTGTCCTACGAGGGTGTCCCGCAAGGGTGTCCCACAAAAGCACCCCACTGTCCCACAAGAGTTTGCCGCAAGCGTGTCCTACAGAGTGGCCAACAAGAGTGACGCACGAGAGCGTCCCCCAAGAGTGTGCCACCAGAGTCGCAGGAGCGTGCCGCGCAGCAGCGTTCGACAAGAGGGCATCTTTCACGAGCGTCCCACAAGAGTGTCGGTGTCCCGCAAGATTGCGTCTCACATGATTGTTCCACCAGAGTGAGCGTCCCACCAAAGCTTGGCAAACGTGTACCGAAGATTGCCCCACAAGAGTGAGAGTCCCACAAGAGCTTTTAACAAGAGTGTGAGTGCCTACAAAAGGGTCCCAAAATAATGTTCCGCAAGAGCGAGTGTCCTGCAAGAGTTTTCCACAACTCGGTCTCCTACAAGAGTGCCGGGCAAGTTTTCCACAAGAGTTTTCACAAAAGCGTCTCCTACAACAGTGTCCAGCAAGAGTGGCCCCACGAGCCCACGAGCGCGTCTCGCAAGAGTATCACAAGAGTTTTGCGCAAGAGTGTTCTACAAGAGTGCCTCTTTTTAGAGTGTCTACTAGAGTGTCCAGCAAGAGTCTGCCACACGAGAGTCGCACAAGAGTGTCGGCGTCCCACGTGATTGTCCCACGAGACAGAACTTGTGCACGAGAGCTTCGCGCGAGAGTTTCCAACAAGAGTCCCGCAAGAGTTGTTGAAGGTTTTTGACAAGAGTGTCCCTTTTGAGTTTTCCACAAGAGTGTCCTACAGAGTTTCCTACAAGAGTGACCCACAAGAGTGTCTTTTTCGACGAGCGTCCCACAAGAGTGTATCGAAGAGTGTCCCACAAGAGTGTTTCACAAGAGTGTGGGTGCCTACAAGAGTGTCCCGCAAGAATGTTACACCGGAGTGTGTGTCCTGCAAGAGATTCGCACGAGTTTCCCAAAAGAGTCTCCCACAAGGGTTGCTCACAAGAGTGTCTCCTGCAAGAATGTCACGCGAGAGCCTTCCACAAGAGTGTGCTACAAGAGCCTCTCCTACAAGAGTGTCCCACAAGAGCCTTCCACAAGAGTGTCCCGCAATGGTGTCCCACAAGAGTGTTCCACAAGAGTCTCCTATAGACGACATAGTGTGTCCAACAGCAGGGCCATCCCATCCCGCAAGAGTGTCCTAGGAGTGCGTCCCACGCGAGTGTCCCACAAGAGCGGGTGTCTTACAAGAGTGCCGCACAAGAGTTTCCCACAAGCGTCTCCTACAAGAGTGTCCTACAAGAGCGTCCCACAAGAGTGAGTGTCTCACCAAAGTGTCGCGCGAGAGTGCCCCACAAGGGTTTTCCACAAAAGCGTCTCCTACAAGAGTGTCCCACAGACGTTTTGCACGAGAGTGGCCCGCAAGAGTTTCCCACAAGAGCGTCGCCCACAGGAGCTTCGCACAATAGCGTATCAGTGTATCGCAGTCCCCCCCAAGAGTGTTCCACAAGAGCGTCCCGCAAGAGTGTGTCGCGCGAGCTTGCGGCACAACAGTGTTCTAGAAGAGTGCCTCTTTCAAGAATGCCTACAGGGGCCCGTCAAGAGTGTCCTACACGAGCGTCCCACAAGAGTGTCGGTGTCGTGCAAGATTGCGTCCCACATGATTGTCCCAGTGTGCCAAAAATAAAAGGTTTGCACGAGAGATTCGCGCAAGAGTTTTCCACAAGAGCTTGGCACGAGCGTGTCCCACTGAGTTTTCCACAACAGTGTTCTACAAGAGCGTCTCCTACAAGAGCGTCCCACAAGACCGCTCTGCATCCTCTGGGCCGCGTGAGTTTTCCTCTGCCTACTCTGGATACACTTGGCCGGATGTTTTTGCACCTTGTCTCCCTTCTTGTTACACTTGTCTCCACTTGTCTCCCTGCTTGTCTCCCTTGTTGCTTCACTTGTCTCCCTTCTTGTCTAACCTCACAAATTCATATTTTCAGACCGTGCCCTATGAGAAAACATATCAGTCATCGCAAATTGATCAACACACTAAGCAATGCGTGTCCAGCAAGAGTGGGTGTCCCACAAGAGTTCAACTTTGCACAAGAGTTTTGCACGAGAGTTTCATGAGAGTGTCCCACAAGGTTTTTTCCACAAGCTGTTTCACAAGAGTGTTTGGCCGTTTGCTTTTTGAGTGCGTGTGTGCATTCGGGTTCGCGGGCTCCATCTTGTTTCTATTTTCTGATTCCATTCAATGTCCACATTACGGTTATTTAGCATCGAGTTGGTCCGTATTGTGCTTTTGCAAGCTCGAACATGGCACAATGCCACAACGCTTCAGCCCTCTAAAGTGCAGCCCCAGCACCATTGATTCCCACATCTCCACGATTCTTTCAGAGTGAGCACTGTGAGCACCCTCAACCAGTCGTCCAAAAATCTTGCCATGGCACTAATACTAAAATATTGAACTAGCTCCGTGCTTCAGTTAGGGTGTAAGTTGAACTATATATAGCTCAGTCGGCCTACTGACCAGCTCCATTTGTCAGGATGCTGCATTGACAGGATCAACTCCTAGTATCCAACGTATGTGAAGCTCAGCAAGGCCTTGAGACTGCTGAATTGGCTGCTGACAGCGAGTGTACTGTCCTCAATCAATTTCAACCCAAAAGTGCTCACCATATAATATCTTCAAATACTGTGGAGTAGGTAGGATGTGCCACGCAATATGTTCTCGCAAGACCATGATACTGCAGTTAGTGAGATTTGCATAGATTTCATGGTAGTCTCTGGCTTCCAGGCATTCACCTTGTCTACTATCTTGGTTTGACTATTGCAAATAAATGCCTTTGCTAGTTTCACCCTATTCTACATCATTCTACTACACAGGAGCAGGAAGAATCAAAGGCTCAGG